GATATCTGAGCATAGCATAATTAATTTTAGAATCAATATGTTGAAACATTATCAATACTCATTCATCTTAAATCGACTTTTATATTTCAGGGTGGATTTGATATTTGTTACAACATCAAATAAATTGCTACAACTACAATATGGGCAACAAACGTTATATTAAAGAAAATGTTGGCAAAGGACTGTAACAAAACACGACTGTGTCAAGAAATGAATATACAGCGGTCGCTGTAACATAATCATGTTGTTGGGTGCCACAATTAAGAATACAAAAGATCACAGTGCCGGAGTGCCGGTACTTTATTCATCAAATACTGCTGGGACTGGGTTATCTTCATCGAAGACCAATAATTCACCGAGATGTAAATCCCGGAAATATATTCCTTGATCAGGATATCCAGATATACGTATACAAGTTGGTATTTTATTCCTTTCGCTGTATTCCTTCCTTCTTGATGCTCGCACCTGAGATACTGACGTCGCATGGTCATTCATATAAAGCGGACATCTGGAGTATCGGCTGCCTCATGTACACACTGCTTGTTGGCAGCCCGCCTTTTGACGCGCCCACCGTCAAAGACACATATAGCAAGATCAAATGTTGCGATTATTCGTAAGTATTTCCTATTGTTACTACTACTCACCGATTTCTAAATCTACAGTATAAGATCCCTCTGCCGTGCGTCTAAGTAAGGCACAGCCTCCTTGATTCGTTAAAAATCTGAATGAAGTATTGTAGAAAAGTTTTGATTAAACTCCATAAATGAATTTAAATTGAAGTTGCTGAGTATCTACCTTAGCAATTAGATTTTCGAAAAGCCGAGCTTCCTTCCTCGGTAATAGAATAGCGACACAGTAATTATTAACGAAGTATAGTTATTACAAAAGTCAATGTTACAATTAATAAGAACTAATTAGAAAGAAAGAAAAATAATTTAGTCGCCATTAGCCGTGATGCACCAAGTAGACAGATACAAAATGAGTAACTATAAAACTAATAAACAAATAAACCGTATAATATAAAATAATAATAATTACAAAAAACAATGTAGCAACATGCCCATGCCATGGTGGCCCTTGCCAATTACAATATTCATACAAGTAGGTAACAGACGGGTGAGTTATTTACTTGACTTGTTCAAAATTACAGATCCCGTCCGGCATGGTGTGAAGCGAGAGGAATTAGGATACCGTCTCCTCCTTCTGCGAAACAGTCATGCTAGCTAAGGAGAAGGCGGAGACGCCAAAACTTCTTACGTAATCCGTCACGGGAGACACTCCACTCCCTGCATCGAGGACCGCGTGGCGATCTCCGGCCACCTTAAACACTGGTCTGGACAGCGAGCAAGGGAAATTCCAAGCAACCACCGCAGATGGGCTGACCCGACCCAGTGTTGCGGGTGGCCTTATGGATTACCGGGACTCCGGCAGGAGTAAGATAGGGAAAGGCGTCTGAACTCGTCTCACCTAAGGCGAGAGAAGTTATTGTATGATTATCCAACATCAATAAAGAAGTGGCCCCTGAACTACTCACCGATTGTGATTATTAATACCGTTGTATGTGAATGCCAAAATCGACAGACATGAAGAATACAGGTTCTAAGTTTATCAGCATGTCAAGAAGTGTTTTTGTTCGATAAACCAGCATAAACTGACTGTTTGAAGATTGACTCATATGTGTGATATTATTTTCCTAATTATGATTGTAATATTGTCATAATTATAGTTAAGATATAAGTAACCCTTAAAGACGAAGCTGTTGACTACTGCCACAAACACAGTTATTTTTGTTAGGGGTGACGAGTGAGATTTTTTTACAATATGGTTCCCATTCACCATCAGGGGTGACATATCAGAATAAAATTTAAATAAAATTCACACTCATCACCGGAGGGGATAAAAATGGGGGTGACAAACGTGAATGACCGTTTGTCACCCCCATATTATAAGAAAAGGTCTTCTTATCGCGAAAAAGTTATACTTTGGCATAGTGTGTATACACACTAAAAACAAAATCAATTGTGCGGCTCGTTCACTACACACAACACAGTACCGTATACGTAAATATAAGTTTGTCGAATGTTAGGTTATCCGAAACGGAAATTACGCTGTAATTGTAGGACCGATGGTCGAAATTAGTTTGAATCGCTATTATAGATGTAAACAATTGTGAGTTTGTGTGTTTGTTTGTTACTCAATCACATCGAAACGCCCGAAGGGATCGGCATGAAATTTTGAATAGACGTACATTACGATCCAGATTAATACAGGCTACTTTTTACCCTTGGAGACGCGGGCGTAACCGCTGGCAGAAGCTAGTACTGTAATATATAGGTATTGCGTGTAATATTTTGTATCACTTGTACTTCTAAGCTATGTCTGTGTTACCTGGTCTTAGATACCACACCTGTGGAGATCGAACTTATTTTTAATCGTATATAGGTAAGTATTATAAAAATATATCTCAATAAAGATGATGGGAGATTGTCTTTAACTGCTGATAGAGCGTGGTTCTACATAGTCTGATATGGCGTTCAATGTATTAAAATTAAATTGTATTAAATAAGCAAGTATTCAAAAATCGAATTAATCATTATCGATGTATATTGATTCGAAAATCGTTCGACGTCACGCTTATTTACTTTTTATACTGAGCGATGACGTAGCGAGATTTCTAGTCCGTTACTTTTATCATTATTTATTATTACGATTAAGGTCTAAATATTTTTTTTTAATACTAATCTAACTGACTGACTAAATTGATGATTAAATTTTAATATTATATTTGTGGTCGCATAATGCGGGAAATTATATTTAAGTTGGGAATGAATGCCGTTGAAACGAGCGGACCCTAAGTAGCGAGAAAAATACATATTAAGATTTAAAATGTCTTATTATGTAAGTTAATTATATGTGTACAAGTCTGTATTTTATTATATGTGTACATACAAAATACATGAATGTATTAAACAAATTGATCGAAATCACGTTGTTTCTGTTAACTTTATTTTATTTTTTCCCTTAACATCTAATGCACATGGCAAATGGCTTTATGTCCAGTCCTGTCTAAATATAATACGTTAGGTAGTAGGTACGGTCAAGGGTCAAAAGTCCACGCATATTTTTATCTGTGTGTGTACGCGTGCGTGTGTTTATGCGTACGCACGCGTTTTTATGCACATTTATATGAAATTACTTACGCAATGCCGTGTGAACATCACTCACGGTGGCAGTGGACTTTTGACCTTTGACTGTACATCGAATACAAATTCCGTTCTTACTACTGAGAATTTTTGATAACCGAAACATCATAATTATCCTTGTGATGTAATATTCCTTAAGAAATTTGAGCTGTAGTGCCTCGGCCTCCACGAAGCGTCGTACAAACAAATGGAGTGCAATACCTACAGAAAATTTTTCATCACCATTCACATGCACAAAATAAAGAAAAAAATGCGTCTATATTATGCGCTACTTGAAACTATTTGTTTTCATTCTATATGCTTCAACCCATCGTGTGTCTAAATGTGGATCCACACGAGATAATGTTAATATTTTCTATTGTGTTTCATACCGGTGCATTTAAGCGGTTAATTTATGTATATAGGTACCTACGGTCTATTCTAGAATAGTTACTCTCAAAATTTTATTAGTTGTATTACACCAGTTATATTTGTTTACTGTAAGGCACTTTTTTCTTCAACAAACCACTGGCCACTGACACACTGAAAGGATAACCATAATTCCTGTAGGTACTTTATCGTTCTTTGGAAATCGAAAATTGAGTTTTATGTTTTTATTTGCAATTATAAAGTTCTGCCAGTAAAGGAGACCCATGCTTCGGTACGAATGGGCCGGCTCGACAGCGATACCACGACCTCACAGACCGACGTCAAACAATGCTTGCGTTGTGTTTCGTCGCCGTTAACTTATTAACCCCTCAATCCTCAAATTCCTAATCCCAAAAGGCCGGTAACGCACTTGTCACGCCTCTGGTATTCCAGGTGTCCATGGGCGACGCCGATTGCTTACCATCAGGTGATCCGCATGCTCGTTTACCGGCTTATCCCTTCCTAAAAACATTCGTCGTCATTCTTAAATAGTCTTGTTGCAGATGCATCATGTCGTAGCTCTCTGGTTCATATTCTATTTACAATCAATCAGGCATCATATCGCAGCTGCCTGATTGGTTGTCGGATATAAACCAGTCAGGCAGCAGGACACTAGTGCTTCGTTGGGGTCCAGGAACTAAAGCTGTCACAGGCCTGGCCATAGATATAAAGCACTTAGAAATGACTGAAGCACCAAAATATCAGTGGTGTGTTTATATTAATTACACACATAACAAACAATGCTCAAGCACAGCTACTACACAGCTCCAGCACGGCGTTTTAGACTTTGGAAACAATACAAAAATGTTTACAGCTTTTTCATATTGACGTTATCAAATATATCATACGAGTCATACGACATACGATTTAAAGTTCATATTTAAATGACGAGTTAATCGCTGGGTTGAACATTCAAGCCGTGCCGGAGACGTGCTTTGTTAGTGTGCGATGCCCTAATGACGGGCCATGTCACACGACAGATGTCCTTCGTGCCAATGTGTGTATTCTGTGTGTAAGTCTATAGTACCCAGGTCTCACGGTCGTTGTTTCAAGAGGCAATGTCCGCCTTTTTTTCAACGTTCTTGGTCCGACGTTGGTTAAGTATGTAATAGACGTAGGTAAAATACTGTTTGGTATTAATCCTTATTTTGAGCAAAGAAACCAGACCAGACCAGCTTGTCTGTCAATGTCAATTTGTTTTTCCATAACCATATAAATATCTTTAAACTTATTATCAAAGAGTATAATTTATTATATCTTTGATTTGTTTGTATGTTTGATGATCGTTTGATGGAAATCAACGGAAATTCAACAATAGTGTTAAACCGTATTTTTGTATTTTATTGAGTGATCTCATATATAAAACCCGTCAATTTATTTTTAACATTCATGGCACCTAAAAAAGGAAAAGTAGCTCCCGAGCCACCGGATGAAAACGCTTGGAAAACAGAGATTCAAGAAGCACCGATAGACGAAGAAAATTTTGCGGTTAAAGTAATAATACTTGAATCTGCTGGTAGTGAACAGGAACGGATATATCTCAATAAATTTGAAATATTTGCCGCTGAAGAAAAACGTTTTGTCATCAAAAACATATGTAAAAGTGAGACAATATTTATGATAAATCAACTAGGTGCGGAGAAAAAAGTTAAAGATGAAAATCTTAGAATTTTCGAAGAAGCTCAGTCATATCTAAAAGATAAGAAAGACATTCCAGCAGATGTATTATCTTTAGTAATTAAACATCTTATAATGAAAATGAAAGACGAGTACCTCTATATTCAACGTCAAAGACTTGAAGTTAAGTTGGGTATGCAAAAAGAATCTATCACTATGCTTGATCAAGGAGAAGTGAAGGGTACTGCAACTTCAAAAACACGCTTGGACGCCAGTCACAGTAAGAGTCGAATGAAGGAAGGCGACGGAGATGGTCGTTCGGACAACAAAAAATACAAAACCCAACTTAGAGTGAGAGGTGAGGAATGGAGAGATAAAGTATACGTAGACGACTATCCTACCGACGGACCCAATATTTATGTCGCTGTAACAGGTTTTGTAGACCCTTACCTACCATCATGTTTAGTAAAAGCTAACATACCATTGACAGCAATAGTGCAAATAAGAATAGATCCATCGAACACTTCGATACCATCTAGTTTATTACGAACCACAAAAAGAGGTCAAAGTCTCACAGAATTATTAACTGAAAAATCTATGAAATTTTGGGAAGATTTACAGTTATTGCGAATACGAAGAGAGACTGTTGACGATTTTAAGGAAACCGCTTTTATTGTATTTTCTCCTCCGTATTGGAATTCAGAAAATCTGTCTGGGAATCCCGATAAAATATATGACGAACTGTGTTATCTAATGTACGACATTCAGGATTTGTCTAGGCAACATGTCCATTATAAAGAAAACATGCACATTATTAATATACCTACTGATGTTGGCAATTTACATCTCAACAGACAATATGAAAAACAAATTGCTGACTTTCCTCTGGAATGTGTAACCATGTATTCATTCTTAGATGTTCTTCTTCAAACAGCATGTAGCCCTCAAGATTATGATGATGAGACTAGTAGAAGTTCCTTATCAACAGCTGCTACTATAAATCCCTTACATTACTATCATCACAAAAACTTGACTGAAGAACATAAGCGTAGCATTTCTGAACATCTGGTGAAGAATCTTTTTAACACATTATGTAATACGGAGGCTACTAAAAAAACGTACCGCCTAACGTACGGAGAAGAATATGAAGATCAAAAAGATCCTATTGTGATCGATTATGGAGATTTTGTTAAATATAATACGTTTCAATTAGGAAATATAAATTTAGATAACATCGTCTACTCCTCCTTGCTTGGTATGCCTACAAACAATTTATGGAACAATCAAAGTCGACCAGATGGTGAACTCGAGGCCAAAGTTAATTTTCATGTAAATGTTTTATTGTCATGTTTTGAAAGAGAGGACGTTGAAACCGCTGAGTTGAATAGACTGCTTAATATTTTAGCTTGCCGCAAATTGTATAATCATCGAAGTTCATTAAAGAAGCGACATTTACCAACGACCACTATAACAGAGTTTAAGAAAACTTATTTAAAGCGCAGTCTTGTTGCTGAACCTCTTCCTGCATGTCCTTCTTTAGCTGCTAGCGGTCAAAATCTATCTCCATCTTTTCCGTCTATGACAAAGAGTGAAAATGATTACGAATGCGCATATTCCCAAGAAGACCCTGATCCTGAAATCCGTCGATTGAAACACCTTTTCGATTGTCCAGATATAAGTGGCTTAGTCACAGCTGCTGAAATCGAAAATAATCAACCTATCTCCAAGCACAACATTATAGACGATTACGACTTTTTTGAAGATCTTTCTGGAACCTGTGCTTTTCAAATTTTACGTGACGCGTTTAATAAATTCAACTGTGTTGACTATAAACATTGTGAGGTCACTGATTGTTTTATTCTCATGTTTTTCAATAGTCACGACAAAGAAGGTATAGCGCGTGAGGAGTGGCGATGTCATTTAACAACACCTCTTTGCTTGCAAGATTTTTTTGATTTTATTTTAGAAGAGCATTATGACTGGATACAAAACGAAGAGAAAATTTATGATGAAAATCTTTTATCCCAGGCTAATTCGGAATCTAAAGATGTTATTGATCCTCATGAATCAAAAACTTGTCTAGAAACTACTGATGTCGAAACAGAATTGCTGATGGACGGTTCCATAAAACATGACACAATTAAAAAAGAACGTATTCTCCGAGACGCAGCAGACCCAACAAATACTTCATTGCAAAAGTCGAAGTCACAGGTTTCCATTGATTTACAAAGTACTAAAAAACGTAGATCATCTGCCTCACAACGAACTGATGGACAGTCGCATCAAGGGATTGCAGAATTTCAAGATTCTATTGATACGAGCATACCTACAAAACCTTTCTTAGGTTACGACTTAGGCGATAGAAGAGTCGAAGTTTTTGGAAAAGACGCTGTATTTTTTTCTAAAGATGGTACTAAAGTGACAAGTTTTTATACTTTGCTTATACCATATAACTTGGAATACATCGTCCTAAACATTTTACCTGGAAATAGTTACAATGAATTTTGGTTACATAAAGCTTTAGGTGAGTATGTTCCACCAAGTATCAAAGATGCTTGCGACTCGTTTAGAATTACAAGTAAAGATCAAGTTATGATGTATTTTAAAAAGCAATTGTATCGTGTGCCAATAATGCCAGATAGTAATAATGAAAACACGCCACCTACTGAGAAAAAAAGGTCAGGAATTGATAAACAGAGCTCTGTGATAGAACAGTTGTATGAAACTAAACATTACCACTCTCTTTATGTTACTTGGCCTAACGGTTTGATTACTGAAACAGTATATCTGGAAAATTCATCTATACTTTCACATATCAAACTATATCATACTTGCCGAATGCCACATCTTGATGAGGAAATGCGATGTATTAGTCTAAACGGTGAAGTAATTATTTTTAAAGAATCTGGTCTAATTGAAGTTCTTAGGCCAGATGGAACTTATATTAAATTAACAAAATATTATAAAAGAGTGGTCCCTCCTCCTGACCAGGAAGTAAAAGATACTGCTTCGGAGAAGGGTAAGAGAAAAAGTAAGGGTAAAATAAGCAAAACATCAACAAAATCTACCAGCAGTCGGGTAAAAGTATCGCAGGATGATAATAAACCATTGGATGATAAACCACCGGAATATGAAATTGTAATTAACGATTTTGAAATCATAGAAACCACAGGTTTGAGACAAAAGTGGATTGATAATGTTTCTTATAACATAGAAAAATTGCTTATTCGTACGGCTTCTGATTACTGCTTGGGAGAAGTTTTCTCTAGACGCATGGATGGTACAAATATTTTAGTAAATAAAGAAGGTATGCAAATTGTTACATTTCCTGACAAAACAAGAATAATTTCCTATTATGTAATTGATGATGAAGAAGTCTACCCAGAATGGACAGATGTGGAAATGGAATACTTTGAAATGTTTGATCCTGATACGATCGATGACGGCAGGTCTAAACTGTCAGTTTCGCAAAAAAGTTATACAGGTGCTGCGTACACATGCGAAAGCAGTGCCTCAACGTTTTCAAAAAAGCTAGAGGAGGAAGAGTCAAAATATAAGAAACGGACAGATGGTTACGTTTTGGTGCATATTGTATATTCAATAGAACATCAAAATTTTAGTACAATCACAATAAATAATGTTACTGGCAAGGTATCTGTGGACTCACCGAATGAAACAACTGTGGTGGTAGATAAAAACAACAACTACGAGATGAAATTAGATAGTGGAACATCGGCTAGTTTTAATGGAGAATTTTTAAACATATCTTACGAAGCGTGTTCTGAATGTAGTGCTTACACATACTGCAACGTAAAAATAATTAATGAACCTGAAGACAATGCAACAAATGATGAATTAATAAAAGTTGAACCAAATTGGCTCAAATTGACAGATTCGTTTAAGGTACAAATGGTAGTAAATGAAGAAGGTGCTATCAGCATCTCAGAAGAAGAGACGGCTTCCGAGGACGAACGAGCGGAGAATTTACCCAATGAAGAGGAAAGGACAAAAGCTCCAAATGACACCGAAGAAAAAGAGCCTGACGTGAAATCTGAGAGTTCCGTCGTTTCTCATGGAAAGTGCAGAGAGATGTACTTAGCGAAAAAATTCAGATTTTTTATCCTGAAACGGTAGGTCGAGTACAATTGTTATTTGTTAGATAAGCTTTTGATGAAATAAAGCATGGACGGGCGAGAACTTTCCGGTGCGATTACTGTGTTACACGTATATTTGAGAATAGAGATCCAGATCCGATTTCCCATAACCTATATGGGAAATCGGATCTGGTCTATTAAATAATTATTATTGAGTTTCATTTTGTACGCATTTAAAGTTATTTGTTCTATTTGTTTAGTGAACTACATTGTGCAGAGCTTCTCCATAGAGCATTACTGGATGAATACAAGCGTTCTTGTCGATGGAAGCCTTGGTGTTCTATCAATTATTACGATACGTTTGGAGATCATAGAAACCTTGTGTCAATTCTAACTCCGGTCCATCGAACGGAAACTGAGGTTTGTGCACAAATTAATATGCATAATGTAATTGCATAAACCGAAATTGTATAGGTAGGTGAATGTTAACCGCCATTCAGTAGGTAACTTTGTCTAATCCTTAAATACTGCCTAAGCAATCTGCTATCTATTTATGGTAGAGCATCATCATCGTCTATAAGAGATTGAATGAGCATGAATCACCACGCTTGCTCATAATAAGTACAATTTTCCAACTACATGTGTCTAAATCATCTTAGAAAGTAAAAGTAGATATTTCCCAGGTTTCACCCGCTACTTTCAGTACTTACTAATAGAATAACACATCTGTACTTGTACATGTCACTTATTTTTTACCGTGTGTCTCAACTTCTGAGCCGACATTTAGGACACCTAACAATTTTAATCACTGACAAAATACCTAAATCATATGACTAACTATACCTAAGTATACAAAATGAGGAGAAATCTAGGTACTTCTCTATTATTATTTTTTTTATATCATAAGCCGGTAAACGGTCTGCTCGTTTCATCACCTGATGTTAAGCCGCCCATGGACACCCAAAACATCAAGGCGTTACAAGTGCGTTACCTGCCTTTTGGGAATTGGGAATTTGAGGATTGTGAAGGATTCGGGGATTCGTGAGACGGGGACTAGAGAGGGCGGTAATTGGGCCTCCGATAACCTCACTCACACGACGAAACACAACGCAAGCGTTGTTTCACATCGGTTTTCTGTGAAAATTTCGTCAATTCTCGCGTTGCCTTTGTTTTTTTTACAGAAATGGTTGATGGAATCGAAATTGGCTAACACACCCAAGTTTCTCCAATACAAAGATCTGAAAAAAGATTGTGGAAAAGGGTTTTACCACTGGATGAGACCTTACGATAGATTTGTCGCTGAGCCTACAAGGCCATGCAATGTTTTGCCAGAGCGTCTCCCTAGAGCATTTATTCTTAGGTTTGTCTCGTTTAGTTTAATAGTAGTCTTGGGAACATTTAACATAGGTACCTATTGATATAATGCATTACACATTTCTACGTAAAGAGTTACTTTTTACTTTCTTTTGAATAACAATATACCTAATTTTATTGAGAGAATATAGCAGTTATGCCCAATATTATTAAATAGTCTATGCTATTTCTATAAATGCAAGTGTCTGCTTATATTGGTTGATATGTACGTTGGAACAGAGTTGTGTTTTTATAATAACTATCGTGAGACATACTAAATTAACTTAAAATCGCGGGTTACTCACGTGAATATACTGAAAAAAGCATATAGGACAGTAGGCTGCGCGACATCGCCGCGACCGCACACGCTGCTCACGAGGAAGAGCCCCTCTGTGGTTCGAAACTAGTAGAGCTTTTCTCAGTATATTCACGGAAAGGAGCTATTCGCCATTAGCACATCTACGAGATTAACGGCGGAAAAGCGTTGCCACATGCTACGAACTATGCGCTACGAACCATACACTACGAACTATCCGCTACGAGCTACGGCTGTAGTTTCGCCACAATTCAAGTGTAAAAAAACCAAAAAGTTATAACAAACAAAAAGTCAAAACTAAAAAGCAAAAAATAACTATTAGAAGTACTGATAGGTTACCCGCCCACTGATAGGTTTGAAGTCGGTGCCATTTAAACGCAGTTTTTATTTTATTACTAGCTGCTGCCCGCGACTTCGTCCGCGTAGATTAATGACTTGTGACAGAATTCATCAGAATCAATTCAGTGCCCAATTAAGATTTACCTATTGTGAAATGATTTATCGTAATTTCAATAAATTAAAAATCCCGCAGGGTTCTTACCAGTCCCGGCCCGATCACGTAAGTTTTGAGTAATAAAAACTTTGACTATTGTTGTACAGAATCTCTATGAAATAAGTTCAGTGGTTAAAAGATAGAGAGTCCTGGAGCATTGACGTATAGTTCCCGTTCCCGAGGGACTTCTGAGATAAAAACTATCATACGTTTGACTGCACGGTTGGTGCGGTGGCTGGGCAACCGGCTGCCGTGCAACGTGTCGCGGGTTCGATTCCCGCACGGGACAACACTTTGTGTGATCCACAAATTGTTGTTTCGGGTCTGGGTGTCATTGTGTATGTGAACTTGTATGTTTGTAAACGCACCCACGACACAGGAGAAAATCCTAGTGTGGGGCAACGTTT